GAAGCCTCAACCTCTAAATGTGATAGGATTTGGAGAGGGGCCTTGTAGGAGGTAATTAGGATCAAATGAAGTTAAATAAGAGTGGGGACCTAATCCAGTAGGACATGTGTCCTAATAAGAAGAGAAAGGGAAACCAGGAGTGTGCACACATGGAAAAAAGGCTATGTGAGGAGACAGCAAGAAGACCGCCCTCTGCAAGCCAAGGAGAGAGGCCTCAGGAGAAATCAAACCTGCCCACATCTTGATCTTGGGCTTTCAGCCTCCAAAACTGTGAGAAAATACATTTCTGTTGTTGAATCCCCCATCTGTGGTACTTTGTGACGGCGGCCCTAGCAGACTAAGACAGGTATCAACAAAGCCAACCTTTTCTTTTCTTTTCTTTTTTACAGGTACACACCCTGAGGCCCAGAGGGATGAAATTTACCCAGTTATCCATCTAATTAGCTGAAGACTTGGATTAGAATTCTTGAGTGGGGTTCTTTCTCCACTAGTTTTTCTTTTCTTTTTTTCTAGTGAAAAACTATTTTCAAGTGAATCTTTTAGGAATCCCAGTTCCACACATGAAACAGAACTGAGTGCAGCTGCTCCAGCCAAGGGCTCTGAGCCTGTCCTGCCCAGGCGCTCCTCTCCCCTCCACTCCTGCCTCTGTATGGCGCCTCTGCTGCTCTCTAAGAGGTCATGGGCTCTAGTTGGAAAACTACTGTTGTGCTTTTGCTGCCTCAGTCTCACATCCAATCTCAAAACCCTTCCCAACTGATCATGTTCTCTCACCTGGTGTAAAGCATTAGAAACCTGTTGTGAAGTAGCAAAGCCAACCGGGTCAGTAGAGGGTAAGACAGGATGGCCTGGAGGATAGACGGTTAGGATTTCAGAGAAGGAAAGGCCACCACAGTTGATTTGACTATCCTGGGAAGAGGATAACGAAGACTGCAAACAGATGAAGTAGAGGCATCCAGAAACCAGGTGTGTCCCAGTCCTGGTCTGGGACCCATTTCATAAATCAGCGAATACCTGAAATACATACGCATGGCTCCACTGAAAGGTGTCTGGGAGTTTCAGTGAAACTACTTTGGTGGTGGCCAGGAGAAGAAAATCCTAGGACCTTCTGGGAAGCCTGCCTCAGAACTGGGCTTGGAAATGCTGTGCGGCCAGGGACAGTGCTTCTCCAGCTGTGGGCCATGGATCTTCTTGGATCTCAGTGTCCTGGGTATTTTGAATCATGTAGATTCATATAAGGATCCCAGCTGGACTTATTCCCAAGGTGATTCTTGTTCACATTCAAGCTTCTGATTGTTAGCACCTGGGCTTTGGAATCAGAAGAAAACATCTGAATCCTGGGTTGGCCACTTCCTGGCTGTGGCCAAGTCATTTTCCTTGCGGTAGCTTTGGTTTCATATCTAAAAAATGGACATAATGCCTATTTTACAGGGTTGCTTGAGGAATTTAAGGTCAGCATTTAACAGTCATCCTCTCTGGGGAAAGTTGGAGAGCGGATAAAATGGGGTAGAATTGAGAAAATCAGTTTCTAAGAACTCCCTGTAAAGTTTTTGCTATTTTGACAAATAAAATAAGAAACTCATATAGTTTTTTAGTACTTACTGGCATTAAGCACTTTAAAAAAACTCGTAAGAGTTTTACAGGCACTAAGGATGACATCCAAGTGCTGGAAATACAGCTCCATTCGGGGAAAGCTTTCGGCTGGAAGGAGGAAGGAAGGTGCCAACGGATTAATCCCAGGAAAGGATGTTTACTGTTTTATGGATGTGCTCATATACTGGGTCACATTATGTCCCAGTAAGGACATCACCCCAGAAAGTTTAGAAATCAGTTGTGACTCTTGCTCCCTGTAAGATATTGGCAGGCATTTTAAGGTTTCTCTATGATGATCATACTACCTTTACTGAAGTACTAACTGTATACCAGGCACTGTACTAAGTTCTGTACATACATTATGCTGTTCAATCCCCACAGGTACCCCTAAGTGGCAGGAATATCATTACTTCCATTTTACCAATGAGAAAGCGAATTCAATGATCATGATTCTGAGTTGTATTGCAAGGATAACAAAGAGGAAAGGTGAACACGACCCAGCTGTGCTTCTTGAGCATTCCACTTTGACATTTCCCTGCCAGACAAGACTGAGTCTTGGCGTAAGCTTGCCTGTCACTCTGCTCCTTTCTCTGCCATGCGCAGATGTGAGTGGGATCTCAATTAATACTGGGTTTTAATGAATGTCTTGAAGTCCAATAAATGATGATGTTTGTGAAAATACTCTGAATATACTATTCTAAAAATAGAGCAAAGTTGTATACATCAGATTGTTTATCATAGCAAAAAATTGAAAGTAACAATACCACAAATGAGAGATTGGGTAAACTGTTATTTTCATACAGCCACATACAATGAATATAGCTTTATATTAAATGAGTGACATCTACAACATATTAAATGAAAAAAGCAGGTATTAAATAGCATATGTGTAGTGTGATCCCATTTTTGAAAATGAAATCTTTCTGCATAGAAAAAAATTTGGAGGGATCAACTCTGTAATATGCTAATTAATCTCTGAATGAAAGGTTTGAAAGGTTTAGGATTTTTTTTACTTTGCATTGTCTGATTTTTCTCTTTTTTTTAAGTGAGCTGAGCATGCATTACTTTTATAATTAGAAAAAATGTGCTGTTATCATTTTGTAAATTAAATGCCTTGGAAAGGAAATTTAATATTTTACCACCTTCAATATCTTCATGGATTTGTGTTTGTTTCTTTAAGAGGGTGGTTACGGGATGGTCTGAAGACTGTGCCCACCAAAGGGATGGCCATTTGAGTATTTCCAAGCATCTCTTTCAGCCCCTCCACAGATACTCAGCTCTTGCCTCAATGTATCACTCAATACGTTTTTGTGAAACGAATGAGCACAGAAAAGAAAATCTGTGATTGGTATGCAAAGTGCTGTAAAAGATGAACACTCATAAGGACTGGAGGAGGTCATAACAATCACTTTTTCTTAGATTCCTGGTAGCAGGATTAACTTGTGTTCAAAGAGATGCAATGAGTTTAGTAGATCCCAGAATGGAAGCAGAGCAGGTGGGAGTTGTTTAAGTCACTGTAAGAACTGCCCCCAACAGATGTTCCCCCTCCACCTGTCTACACTGTGTCTCTTTCCTTATTGTTGTTGCCTGTGGTGACTGTCACAGATAGGAAGGCTGAATGATGCTCCCCACAGCACAATCCATTTCTTCCTTGTCCATTGCTTGTTCACTGTAATAGGACATTCTTCTTCCACAGATAGGGAACAGATTTCTGGTTATTAGAAAGCATTCCCAACCTCCAACTGGGCTTTGATGACTTTATTTGTGATTCAGGGGAATGGCTCTTGGCTAATACAAGAGGATGCCAGTTCAGGGACCATTCAAAATAGACTGTTAAAAAAAGCCAAAAACCCAAAACTGGAGAGCTACATGTAAGAGAATGAAACTGGATCACTGTCTAACCCAATACACAAAAGTAAATTCAAAATGGATCAAAGACCTGAATGTAAGTCATGAAACCATAAAACTCTTAGAAAAAAACATAGGCAAAAATCTCTTGGACATAAACATTAGTGACTTCTTCATGAACATATCTCCCTGGGCAAGGAAAACAAAGGCAAAAATGAACAAGCGGGACTATATCAAGCTGAAAAGTTTCTGTACAGCAAAGGACACCATCAATAGAACAAAAAGGTACCCTACAGTATGGGAGAATATATTTGTAAATGACAGATCTGATAAAGGCTTGACATCCAAAATATATAAACAGCTCATGCACCTTAACAAACAAAAAGCAAATAATCCAATTAAAAAATGGGCAGAGGAGCTGAACAGACAGTTCTCCAAAGAAGAAATTCAGATGGCCAAAAGGCACATAAAAAGATGCTCCACATCTCTTGTCATCAGAGAAATGCAAATTAAAACCACAATGAGATATCACCTCACACCAGTAAGGATGGCTACCATCCAAAAGACAAACAACAACAAATGTTGGTGAGGATGTGGAGAAAGGGAAACCCTCCTATACTGCTGGTTGGAATGTAAATTAGTTCAACCATTGTGAAAACCAGTATGGAAGTTCCTCAAAAAGCTCAAAATAGAAATACCATTTGACCCAGGAATTCCACTCCTAGGAATTTACCCTAAGAATGCAGCAGCCCAGTTTGAAAAAGACATATGCACCCCTATGTTTATAGCAGCACTATTTACAATAGCCAAGAAATGGAAGCAACCTAAGTGTCCATCAGTATATGAATGGATAGAGAAGAGGTGGTACATAGACACAATGGAGTATTATTTAGTCATAAGAAGAAAACAATTCCTACCATTTGCAACAACATGGATGGAGCTAGAGGGTATTATGCTCAGTGAAATAAGCCAAGTGGAGAAAGACAAGTATCAAATGGTTTCACTCATCTGTGGAGTATAAGAACAAAGAAAAAACTGAAGGAACAATACAACAGCAGACTCACAGAACCCAAGAATGGACTAACAGTTACCAAAGGGAAAGGGACTTGGGAGGATGGGTGGGATTGAAGGGATAAGGGGAATAGGGAGCATTACGATTAGCACACATAATGTAGGGGGGTACGGGGAAGGTAGTACAACACAGAGAAGACAACTAGTGATTCTATAGCATCTTACTATGCTGTTGGACAGTGACTATAATGGGGTATGTGGTGGAAACTTGATAATGGGGGGAGTCTTGTAACCATAATGTTGCTCATGTAATTGCATATTAATGATACCAAAATAAAAAAAACAAAAAGAGAGTAGTGTTTGCCAGAAATTTGGAAGGAGGGAAAAAAATTGAATGGGTACAGCATGGGATTTTTAGGGCTGCGAAACTAATCTGTATGATATCGTAATGGTGGGTACATGTCATTGTACTTTTTGTCCAAACCCACAAAATATACAGCACAAAGAGTGACCCTCCCTAATTAAACTGGAAAAAAAAATACGTTGGAAGATCAATGAAATTCACCATCCTTTAGCTAAACAAAAAAAAAAAAAAAAAAGACTCAAATAGCTCAAAAGTAAAAGGTATTACAATTGATGGTACAGAAATAAAAAGTATTATAAGGCACTAGGTACAGCCAGTTATATGCCAACAAACAGGATACCCCAGGAGAAAAGGATGAAAACCAGAAACACACAACCTACCAAAACTGAACCATGAACAAATAAAAAATATGAACTGACCTAAACTAGTGAGGAGATTGAAGCAGGAATAAAAAACCTCCAAAAAGAGAAAAATCCAGGACTAGATGATGTAGAGAATTCTATGAAACACTTAAAGATGAAATAAAACCAATCCTTCTCAAACTCTTCTAAAGAACCAAAGAGGAGGGAACATTCCCAAACTTATTCTGAGGTTGGCATTACATTGATACCATTACCAGAAAAAGACATTACAAGAAAATTACAGCCCAATATCCTTAATGAATATAGATGCAAACATCCTAAACAAAATACTACCAAACCAAATTCAACAGCATATTAAAGATATCATAAACTACAACCAAATGTGATTTATCATTGGGATGCAATGATATAAACAAAACTCAATCGATGTAATACATAATGAGCACATAAACAATGAGCAAAAACTAAATGACCATCTGAATTGATGCAGAAAAGTATTTGGCACTGTTAAACACTCTTTCATGATAGAAACACTCAATAAGAAGGAAGTGAAGGAAATGATCTCAACATAATAAAAGCCATAAATGAGAAGTCCGTGGCTGACATTATACTTAATGGGGAAAGACTGAAAGCTTTTCCTCTAAGATCAGGACCATAGTAAGGATGTCTATTCCTAGTGCTACTATTCAACATTGTACTGGAAGTTCTAGCTAGAGCCATTAGACAAGAAAAATAAAAAAATAAAGAAAAGGTATACAACTGGAAAAGAACAAGTAAAATTATCCTGGTTTGCAGATGACATTATGTGCAAAAAACCCTGAAGATTCCATTAAAAATATATTAGAACAAGCAAATTCAGCAAAGTTCACTTCTTAAAATAAAATCAACACTCAAAAATCAGTTACATTTCTATACACCAACAATGACTCATACAAAAAGGAAATAAAGAAAACAATCCCATTTACAATAGCATGAAAAAGGACAAAATATTTAGGAATAAACTTAACCAAAGAAGTTAAAGACTTCAATACTGGAAGCTACAAAGCATTGCTAAAACAAAACAAAGATAACACAAAGAAAATACAAAGAAAGACATTTCATATTCATGGATTAGAAGATGTAATATTGCTAAAATGTCTATACTACCTAAATCTGCAATTTCTAATGGAATTCCTATCAAAATACCAATGGCAATTTTGCATAAATAGAACAAAACAATCTAAAATTCATATGGAATCTCAAGGAACCTTGAATAGCCAAATCTTAATCTTTGAAAGGAGGAACAAAGTAGAGGTCTCATACTCCCAGATTTCAAAACATACTACAAAGGAACAGTAATTGAGGTAGTATGGCACTGGCATGAAGACAAATATATAAACCAATTAATAGCATGCAGAAATAAACTCTTGCAAAAATGCCCAAATGATTTTTAGCAAGGGGACTGAGGCTGTGCAATGAGGAAAGGACAGTCTCTATGGTGCTGGGACAAGTTGGATATCCACAAGCAAAAGAATGAAGTTGGACTCTTAAGTTACACCATATATAAAACTTAACTCAAAATGATTTTAAGACCTAAATGTAAGACCCAATCTATTATAATCCTAGAAGAACATGAGGGCAAAGCTTTGGGATAGTGCATCTGGCAGTGACTTCATGGACATACACCAAAAGTACAGAAAAAAAATCAAAATTAGAAACAGGAATACATGAAACTTAAAAACTTTGCACCAAAGGAAACAATAAACAGAGTGAAAGGCAACCTATAGAACTGGAGACAATATTTGCAAATTATTTATCTGATCAGAGTTTAATATCCAGAATATATAAAGAACTTCTACAATTAAACAAAAACAAATACATTTAAAAAATGTTAAAAGGACTTGAATAGACATTTCTCCAAACATATACAAATGGCCAATAAGCACATGAAAAGGTGCTCAACATCACTAATCACTAGGGAAATGCAAGTCAAAACCACAATGAGATATCACTTCATACCCATCAGGATGGCCACCATCAAAAGAATGAAAATAACACATGCTGGAAAGGATTCCAAGAAGTTGAAATTCTTGTGCACTCTAGGTGCAAAGGCTAAGTGGTGCATCCATTATGGAAAACAATATGGGAGTTACTCAAAAGATTTAACATAGAATTACCATATGATTCAGCAATTCTACTTCTAGGTAAATATCTAACATAATTCGAAGCAGGACTTCGAAGAGATATCAATTTACTTGTGACATTATTCACATAGCCAAGAGGTGGAGGCAATCCCAATGTCTATCAACAGATGGATTAATGAAGAAAATGTAGTATATGCACACAATGGAATATTATATAGCCTTAAAAAGAAGGAAATCTTGTCATATGCTATAACATAGATGAACACTGAAGACATTATGTAAAATAAAAATAAAATAAGCCATTCACAAAAGGACTGTATGATTCCATTCATCGGATGAATCTTGCTAAAGTAGTCAAAGTCATAGAAACAGAAAGTAAAATGATATTTACCAAGGACTGGATGAAAGGGGAAATAGTGCTTAGCGGGTACAGTTTCAGTGTTTTACAATATGGAAAAGGTTCAGAGATTTGTTGTATAACAATGTGAATATACTTAACACTACTGAGTTGTACACTTAAAAATGGTTAAGATGGTAAATTTAATATTTTTTCCATGGTAACAAAATAAAAACAAATAATATCTTGAGACTCAGATAAAATATTTGTAAAACACACATCTGACAAAGGATTGTAATTCAAAATATACAAAAAAAAAAACCTCTTAAAACTCAACAATGAGAAAATGAGCACTCTAAAAACTGTGCACAAGACCTGAATAGATATCTTACCAAAGAAGACACTTAGATGGCAAGGAAACATGAAAAAATGTTCAACACATGTCATTAGGGAACTGCAAGTTAGAACAAAAATGAGATACCACTACACACCTATTAGAACTGCTAAAACCCAGGACACTGACAACAAATGCTGACCAGGAATGTGGAGCAACAGGAACTCATTCACTATTGATGGGAATGCTCCATGGAACTGCCACTTTGCAGACAGCTTGGCAGTTTCTTACAAAACTAGACATGCTCTTATCACACAATCTAGTAATCACACTCCTTGGTACCTACCCAAATAAACTGAAACCTTATGTCCACACAAAAATCTGCACATCGATGTTTACTCCAGCTTTATTCATAATTGCCAAAACTTAGAAGCAACCAATATGTCCTTAGTAGGTGAACGCATAAACTGATACAACCAGACAATGGAGTATTATTCAGTACTAGTAAGAAATGAGCTATCAGGCCACGGAAAAACATGCAGGAAACTTAAATGCATATTACTAAGTGAAAGAAGTCAATCTGAAAATGTTATACTGCGTAATTCTGACTATGTGACATTATGGACAAGGCAAAAACATGGAAACAGTAAAAAGATTAGTGGTGGCTTGGGGTTGGAGGAAGAGAGGAATGAGTAGGTAAAGCAAAAGGATGTTTAGGGCAGTGAAACAATTCTGTATGATATGTAGTGGTGTATACATGTCATTACACATTTTTCTAAGCCCCTACAATGTAGGAGAGAGAACCATAATGTAAACTATGGACTTTGGGGGATAATGATGTGTCAGTGTAGGCCTACTGATCGTAACAAATGTTTCATTCTGGTGGGGGATGGTGATAGTGAGGGAGTTTGTACCTGTGTGGGCACAGGGGGCATATATATATATATATATATATGTGAACTCTGTACTTTCTGCTCAATTGTGCTGTGAACCAAAAATCGCTCTAAAAAGTAAAGTTTATTATTAATTAAAATAAAATCTGTTGGGAAAAGAATTTCATTTGATGTAGAGAAGTCCAAACTCTTATTGACAGGGATCTTATTGGGTAATAAGCAATGATTAATTTGAACAAAAAGTTAAATTAACTAAAATATTAAAAAATAGTAATACCTTGGAACTCTTATACATTGTTGGTAGAATATAGAATGGTACAGCTGCTGTGGAAAAATAGTTTGGCAGTTCACGAAAAAGTTAAAACAAAGAAAGACTTAGCAATTCTACTCCTAGGTATATTATATATCCAGAAGAACTGAAAACAGGTGTTCAAACAAAAATTTGTATATGAATGTTCATACCAGCAATATTCATAATAGGCAAAAGGTGGAAAAAATCCAAATGTCCATCAACAGAGGAATGGATAAACAAACTGTGGTATAGCCATGCAAATGATTATTTGGCCATTAAACATACATGCTACCACATGAATGGTCCAGATACCAAAGGCCACATAGTATATGATTCCATTTATTTGAAATATCTAGAATAAATAAATCCAGAAACAGAAAGATTAGTGGTTGCCAGGGCCTGGGGGAGGGAGGAATATGGTACCACTGCTTAATGGCTATGGGGTCATCATTTGGGGGTGATGAAAATGTTTGAACTAGATAGTTTTGATGGTTGTGCAACATTGTGAATGTACTAAATGCCATTTAATATGTCTTAAAATAGTATTTTTACCATAATAGAAAAGAATGAAGTATAAAAATTAGTACCTTGATTTTTTCACTCTCTTTTTGTACTCGCTGTGCATTTTCAATAATGTAAACAGTGCTCTTGTTGACTTCATTGTCAGCTCTGTGTCTTAGCCAATCTTCATATCCCTAGAAGGATAAAAATAACTATAGTCAATCTCACATAATGAATTAAAGTTTTAATAAATTTCTCTAACTCCCTCCACGAGTCATCAGTAAGAAATTTATACAGTATTAATTTCAACTCAGAATGCTAAAGAGACAACACTGCACATTTTTTTCAACACTGTACATTTTTACAGCAAAAACTAAGTTATGCTTTCAAAATACTCCTTAGGTAAATAGCTTTATTATGTTAAAAGATTGCTCCACTCTACAGACAAGTATTCAGGGGAAAGAGGCATCAGAGCCTTAATATTCTTTAACTACAAAGGACTATGTTTTATTCATATTCTACCATCATCCAAGTTAATGTTAATTTTCTCTCCTTTCTAATTTGAAAATTTGTTTTCTGGCTTATATTTTCTTACAAAGAGTTCACTTAAATATATTCTTCTGTAATAGTCTGTTGGAGTCATCATCTCTAAGGAAATATAATTCCTCCCCAGGGACAGAGAATAGAAAAGGCAATATAGGATTATTTTGGCAGAGAATCTCTGGTAAGTTTTAGATATCAACAGTTAAACATTTCCATCGACATAGTAGAAAATAAAATATGAACAGGTATTCATTTTCTTAGAGTTAAAGGTAATCAGGGAAAGGTCTAATGGCTCATTTTTCTTTGGGCTTTTTGTCTAGAGTAACTTTAAGCCAAAAGAACTAAGGAAGGAGGATATTCATTGCTTTGAACATGAACTCTCTTTTTTGTATCACTTTGTTTTTTTCTTTATAATACTGCCTGTACCTTTCCAAATATAACTGTTTGAAAAATCTTTTGATCGCTTTCCCCTTTTTTTCTCAGGTGCTATATATTCATTCCTGTTCTGTTCATACCTCTTTATGACAATGCTAGGCTATAAACTATCTATGGCACTTTCTGTGACATCAGTGAGGAAAGAAAGGTCTGAACATGAACTGTTAGAAGTAAAATGAATTAGTAAGAGCTTCTGAAAATCATACAGGCTATTCTTGGAATAACCAATTCTATGATGTTAAAGAAAACAATCCTAACGGCCTAAGGGGAAAGCACATTCCAAAAGTCTTTATTTAGCAACCAAACACTTGATAAAATATTATTGTAGTTCCTGGTAGTCAAGATAGAAGACCAGATAACACAAGGGGAAAAGACAACCTTGTTCCCAATAATGTAAGCAGACCTTCTTTTTGGAAGTTTTCTGGGACACTTTTACAGCAGTTTGATTAAGTACTGTCTAAAAGTACATTTTGTAATTAGCTAGGTCCTGTGGATTGTCCCAGTACATGATAACATTGCTAACCCACTCCTCTATGTCCAGTTTCTATTTTCAATTTCATCTGGAATTTTTCTAATGTACTCTCATATAAAATGCTCAAAATACTTCAAAGACAACAGCATCACAAACTGTGTTTTTTGTCAACTTTGATAAGAAATAAGAATAAGTTTCCTCTACCTACAACGCCCTTTGGCAACATCAGAAAAAAAAAGGAACTGAAGTATTTATGTTCTAAGTTCTATGTTGTAGGCAACAACAAAAAAAGTCCCCTAGAATGTGAATTTTTCAGACAGACACGCCAAACTGAGAAAATTAATGTACATTAAAAACAAGCCTCTCATTTCCTGACTGAGTTGCACCTTCTACCTGCTCTTTCTTTAAGGGTTACATCCCTATACACAAATAGGAGGAAAAGAGCAAAGAAATTAAGGATATACCTTACAACCATTTTACTATGTTTCTAATAGGAACCAGATATAAACTAAATCCACCAAGGATACTGCCCAATCTATATAAATATGAAAAAGAACCTCTGACAATGAAATTCAAACTATATAGGACTGAAATGCAGGCCTAATTGTAATTAAGAAAGTTACCTGCTTGATGGCTGTAACAGTTATAACAAAGAAAAGTGGAAGTCCACTGGTAACTGGGCTCGTTGGTGTGTCTACTGTGACCTAGGTAAAGAAATTAAATTGACAGTAAAATGAATATGAACCATTAATTCATATGCAGCAATTACATGCTACTAATGTTTCAGATAAAAATGCAGATATATTCTCGTAGCAGGTTGAACATTAACTTTCATTAAAACAAAAGAAATCCACAAAGCAATTAGTTTAAGGAAAAAGTTTTAAATTCAGGCTTACTTTCATCCCAGCTTAAATTAACCACTTTACTGAAATATAGCCATTTATTTACCATTTATTTGTTGAGAAACATTCTGTCAGTATCTGTGCTATTTTCAGTCACGGTCGAGAGACACTGCTTTAAGCAAGATGGTGAAAAGTCCCTACCCTAATAAAGCTGGCAGCCTCCAGGGAAAATAGGAAATTAAAACAAATGAAACACTGAAACCCGAAGAGTAAATAGAAGTTAACTAGATGAAGGGGGCCTTTCCAGACCTAGTAAACAGTGTATACAAAATCTTTAAGATAGGAGGGAATGTGGTACATAAGAAAATAAAAGAAGCTAGTGCGCAAGACTGTGGTGTGAGATGAGGCTGGAGTGGGAGATAGGTGCCAGATGGAGGAGGATAAGAGTTCTTTCCTTATCCCACAAACAGTGGGAAATAACAAGCTTTTAGGCAGGGAGACAGGTCAAATGAACAGAATGACATTTTGAAAAGACCATTTTCACTGCTTGGTGGAAAATGGAATGCAAGGGAACAAGGGTGGAGGCAGAGAGTCCATTTAGGAGGCTACTGCTGTCAACTGGGGTAAAAGATTAAAAAAAACATGATGGCTTAGATAAGAGTGGTAGCAGCACACATGGGAAGCGCTTTCAGAGATACTTAAGAGGCAAAAATGACAGGACTGGCAAGGAATTTCTTCTAAGAGGTGATTAAAATGTCTTCCAAGTGCCTACTAACATGTTTGAGTGGATGTTGTTGTTTACTACAACAGGAAATACTGGAAGAGAGCAACTGAGAGAGAGAGGATTATGAGTTCTATCTGCCCTCACAACTCATTGACTCTCATCTCTAACCCCCAACCAAGCCTTCTCCTACCCCACATCCTATGTTGTACACAGAGGCTTTTGCATGACTCTGTGCTTCCATGCACAGACTGAGATACCAGTTCGGCATTCTTCACCAGGTAAACTCTCTCTAATCCTTCAAGGCTCAGTTCAGAGATTACCTATTCTTTAAAGCCTTCTCAAGCTCATCCTGGGTAGAAAAAAATAACTTCCACTGAACCATAGCATTTTGTTCGTGCTACTCTTAGAACTTTTACAACATTAAATTAAATGACACATGACTATCTTCAATATAACTTCCTTAAGAACAGAAAAGCTGTACCTTGATCTATCATACCTGCTAAAATCTTTGTTACCTGGACTACTGCAAGGCACAAAGTGGGTGCTTGGTATATGTGCTGAATTCAACTGAAATGCACTGTTTGCCAAGTGGAATGACTTGTGTGAGCATAATCGTCTATGTAGTTTATTTTATGCTGTTCTGTATGGCATCTTACCGTGGATCTAGAGGAGCTCCTTTTCAAATGCCCCATCATTCAAGACTGACATTGGCTCTTTCCCATAGTACAACCCAGACTGATTTTAAATAGCAGGGCTAAATTCAATTACAGTACCATTTACTCAAATCAGATAAGCAGATAGGCAGACCCACTTAACATCAACAGAACATTTGAGCAATTTTACTGGGATGTTTCTGCTTCATTTAAAAAAAATGAAATGAGAAAAAAAAAGTACTTTCACTGCAGTAAAATATTTAGGTGGTAATTTTGGTGAGGGAGAGATTTTAATGGCTTATAGACTTAAAGATGGAAGATGCAATTTAAAATGTCTAAAATTTAAAACACAAACATTAGCAAGAACACAGAAAAGCAGACTGATCTACTAGGCTTTTGCCCTTAAAGTAACAAATGAGGAACAGCAAAACTTGTTATCACATAGAAAAGTGATAAATTTTCAATTGAGCTGAAACTGGTGTTTAACAAAATAACTTTTAATTTGAACTATTTTCAATTCTGATAAAGACCATTATATTCAATGACATATGATATATGTTCTCCTAGGATGAACAAAGATCTGAAGTTCATGGAGGTTTTTAAAAAAAGTAACAAAATCTCAACAACTTTTCTAGTAAAAAAGCTACTTTAGAAATATATAAAATCATATAAATCTTGAAATGTACTGTTAGAACTTTAAAAAATACTTTTAAAAACTAAATACTTTAAAATAAGCCCTGAAGCATCTTTTCAATCACAGGTTAGAAATGGATTGAAAGTTTGCTTGAAGTAAGTAAGTTTCTAAAAGTGGAGTAGCTGTTTATGAAGCTCTTACCTGTACAAGGAAAATGATGAGAAAATAAAAATTTGCAATTCTTCTAAACTGTTCAAACAGATTCTTTGGGAGGAAATTCCAAAGTGTATACTGTTAGGGAGGAAGAAAAAAGGTATTATTAGAAAGGAAGCTTGAAAAAGTCCTAACAATAATAACTCACAGGAGTCCAGACTGTCACAACACTTTGAAAACATGTTTAAACATAAACCTCATAATTATGAATAAGCATATACTTAGAGGTATGCTATATAAACACCTTTTTCAGGAATGAGGTTTTCACTATGAGCATTACAACTAGGCCATCCTATATCTGTGCTTTCCTTGACCCGATATAAATTAGGTTCCTTGTTATGTGTTCTCATATTATCCTATACTTCATTAATAGCACTCATGACAGAGAATAATTATCTTTGTGGGTACCTTTTATTAAAAGTTTCTCCTTGAATAGGCAATGAGTTTTGTAAGGACAGGCTACTCATGTTTTTATTTCTTTTCCCTCAACACCTAGCACAATTCCTGACACAAAGTAGACAACCAATAAATCAGTTGGATGAATGAATGAATAAATTAATTTCTTTGGCTCAGCCAACCTCTGGAGTCTTGTTCAACATTGCCAGTATAACTCCATCTCTATCATGACCTCCCACCTCCATGACAGCTGAGGTATACACATAATGCTGGGTCATAGAGAGCTTTCACTTTAAACAACACACACCACCCTAGAAATAGGTAAAAGTTAAAATGCTAAATTATACATGGGTAAGAGGACAGCACTCTTGGACCAACTGTTGAATTGCATAAATGTGCTTCTCACTGATACCTTAAGCTCAAAGAATGGGTCATTTAAAAATCACAAGAAGTTTGAATTTCTAGATGTCTTACTAAAGAAGACCAGAAACCAGAATGAAATGTTTCCTAAACTAACTATCTAAATTTATACTTGAATGGTCTCCATGCCAAGTATCTCTGTGATGTGAAGAAATAGCCATTAACTAAGGTAAGGTAGCTGAAAGGCCAGTCACAGAGTATGACACAGTATATGGAATTTTACTACTAATTCCTCTTTGAAAGGCTTATGGGTGCAAGGTTCAGGGAATCCCAAGAATGAAGGTAAGTGGAGGCAAACATTCAGTGAAGCAGCTGCATTACAACTTACAACCAACAGCCAGCCTCCAAGGTTCTTTCCCCAGGATTCAGGAAAATTTTCCAGGAAGCCCATTCAAAATGAAGTATAGAATTGTGTGTGGATGTGCATCATTTGGAAGAGAGTACACACTTTTCATCAGATTCCCAAGGTAACTTATGACCCAAATAAAAGGGATCAAAACCACTGATCCAGACACATTAAAGCTGATATAGTCCAGATCAGCATTTAAATTGCCCCAATTACGATCAATTTTCTAAAACAATAAGCTAAACCCCCAAAATAGGCTAGCTGTTGAACTTCTGTCTTGTTGACCCTTCTGTTACTTAAGATAATTTTAATTAAACAAACAAACATTAAGGACTGTTAGAGTCCTCTATGGGGTGTTAACACATCAAAGGGGAAGATTTTTGTTGTTTCTAGGCCCTCACTGTTCGTTTACCAATGTTTTAACTTAGTAAATGAACTATTTAATTGGGAACTCCGGTTATTCCCTTTATAGGAAACTACTGCCAAATGCCCTCTTGTTTCCTAAATCAGGTCTTGAGCTGCTAAGAATTAACTTTCTTAATTCAAAGGAGGGAATTTGAAATGACTCTTAGCTTCCAGAGTCTGTTATTTTAATTTAAACAAAAGAAAGCTTTAGAACATTACTTGTTTTTATCCAAAGTCCAAAACATTTACAATTTACCATTAAAAATGCTGATGGGAAAACTAAAGCCCCAATTAACTTGTTCTAATGTGTCTGAATATATCAAAAGAGAAAAGAGAGCAGTTAAAAGATGTAGTGACTATTTAAAGTAACTATTAAAATTAATAGCCAATTGCAAATGAGTTATCAGAAGGAGCATGGACTTATTCTAACTACTAGGATTTGGATGCAATGGAACAAAATAAATACACTTTAAGATTAATTGGTGACTGGGATTAAAGATGGTGGTGTGAGAGGTGAGACAGACTTCCTCCTAAAACCACATATAATACAAAATATAATTACTACAACTAATCCTGAAAGAGCAACAGGAAAGAAGGCTGTGCCAGACTGCACACACCTGGAGAAAAGAACACACCTCACGGAACAGGGTAATGTACCAAAGCCATGACCCAGCAGAACCCAAGTCCTTCCCCCACCCAGCTCACTGGCAGGAGGAAGAGAAACAGAGCGGGGAGGGAGTGGAGGCCTTGGACTACTGAACACCTAGCCCTGGAGATATGCTCCGGGATCACAAACCTACACTGCATGGTGCTCTGGTGATTAGTGGGGTTGGAAAGCTAAGACAGGTGAAACACCTAGACAGACTGAGATTTCAGCTGCTTGTGGAAAACAGGGATCCATATCCGGCTGATCTGGGCGGGCAGTCTAAGACACTTTCTAAAAGCGACAGGGATGCTAATGGGGCAAGAATTGCACAGAGCTTACTGTTCAGGAGAAAGGACAGGTACACAAAATTGTCTGGGTGCACTCGGCCGAGCAGATTGGGAACTTTCACGATCTTCAGGCGTTCCATCCCCCTGGCTGTATATGCAGCTCAAAGGCCCCCTACTGTGATACATAGCCTGTGCCTTCCTCCCGGCCAGCCCGCACCTGGCTTGCAAACTGGCAAACCCTGCCCTTGGTGTCAGGCCAGCCAGAGGGAAGCCCCACCTGCAGCAGTTACAAACGCAAAACATAGAGGTTTACATCTGTGTGTTCAGCCCAATGGTTCTGACACTGGGACAGACATAGCAACCAGGAAGCAAGAAATAGTTCTTTCCAACCCCCAGGCACCAGCCCACTCACTCCCCTGTGACCCCTGAAATCGCTCTAGGGGCTGAGCAGTTCCAGAGAGTAAGGCTTCTGGGAACTAGAGGGCATCACATACAAATATGAAACCTCAAAGGAACCTGGTTCAAAGCAAAAATCTCAAAAACACCAGAAAAAGTGGCAAGTCAGACTGAAGTAATCAATATTCCTGAAAGAGACCACAAAATAAAAATCATAAACATGCTCCTGGAGGTACAGAAAAATATTCAGGAACTCAGGAACGAATTTAGGACAGAGATCCAATCACTGAGGAACAAACTGGAGGGTTTAAAAAGCAGATTAGATATGGTGCATCAGATGATAAATGAAATAGAAATTAGAGAAGAGGAATACAAAGAAGCTGAGGCACAGAGAGAAAAAAGGATCTCTAGAAATGAAAGAATACTGAGAACTGTGTGACCAATCCAAACAGAACAATATTCATATTATAGGGGTACCAGCAGAAGAATAGAGAGAAAAATGGAGAGAAAGTGTCTTTTAGGAACTAATTGCTGAAAAATTCCCCAATCTGGGGAAGGAGATAATCTCTTAGGCCATGGAGGTGCACAGATCTCCCAACACAAGGGACCCAAGGAAGAAAACACCAAGACATATAATAATTAAAATGGCAAAGATCAAGGATAAGGACAGACTGTTAAAAGCAGCCAGAGAGAGAAAAAAGATCACATACAAAGGAAAACTCATCAGGCTATCATCGGACTTCTCAGCAGAAACCTTACAGGCCAGAAGGGAGTGGCATGATATATTTAATGCAATGAAGCAGATGGGCCTCAAACCAAGAATTGTCTAACCGGCAAGATTATCATTTAAATTTGAAGGAGGGATTAAACAATTTCCGGATTAGCAAAAGCTGAGAGAAATGACCTCCCACAAACCATCTCTACAGTGTATTTTGGAGGGACTGCTATAGATGGAAGTGTTCCTAAGGTTAAATAGCTGTCACCAGAGGTAACAAAAAGGGATAGACAAAGCATACAGAATATGATACCTAACACATAAAGAATGGAGGAGGAAGAAAAGGAGAGAAAAACAAAAAGAACCTTTAGATTGTGTTTGTAATAGCATACTAAGTGAGTTAAAGTTAGACTCTTACAGAGTAAGGAAGTTACCATTGAACCTTTGGTAACCACAAATCTAAAGCGTGTAATGGTAGTAAGTACATACCTATCAATAATCACCCTAAATATAAATGGTCTGAATAGACCAATCAAAAGATGTAGAGTCACTGAATGGGTAAAAATAACAAGACCTGTCTATATGCTGCCTACAAGAGACTCACTTCAAACCCAAAGACATACACAGACTAAAGGTGAAGGGATGGAAAAAGTTATTTCAGGCAAACAATAGGGAGAAAAAGTAGGAGTTGCAGTACTTGTATCAGGTAAAAAAGACTTCAAAACAAAGAAAGTCACAAGAGACAAAATAAACTACATAATGATAAAGGGGTCAGTCCAACAAGAGGATATAACCATTATAAATATCTATGCACTCAACACAGGAGCACTTACATATGTGAAACAAATACTAAAAGAATTAAAGGGGGAAATAGAATGAAATGCATTCATTTTAGGAAACTTCAATACACCACTCACACCAAAGGACAGATCAACCAGACATCGAAAAAGTAAGAAGACAGAGGCACTGAACAACTTGCTAGAACAGATGGACCTAACAGACATCTACAGAACACTCCACCCAAAAGCAGCAGGATACACATTCTTTTCAAGTTCACATGGAACATTTTCAAGAATAGACGATGTACTAGGCCACAAAAAGAGCCTCAGCAAATTCAAAAAGATTGAAATTGTACAAACCAGTTTCTCAAACCACAAAAGTATGAAGCTAGAAATAAATTACGCAAGAAAAACGGAAAAGCCCGTAAACACATGGAAGCTTAACAATATGCTCCTAAATAACCAATGGATCAATGACAAAATAAAAACAGAAATCAAGCAATATATGGAGACAAATGACAACAATAATTCAACACCACAAAACCCGTGGGATGCAGCAAAGGCCAGCCTAAGAGGAAAGTATATTGCAATACAGGCCTACCTCAGGAAAGAAGCACAGTCTCACATGAACAGTCTGAACTCACAATTAATGAAACTAGAAAAAGAAGAAGAAATGAGGCCCAAAGTC